TTAATTGTTATTTTTTATTTCTTGTGTTTCTTGGTCAATCAACTGAACACATTATTAAACATTCCAGTAGAGGTTTAGAATGATGAAACATGACTAAGGGAAGTTTGGTTGTTTTTTTTTATGTTGGTTTGTGCAAAACTTGTGAAGTGACACGCCACCTCTTATTACGAACATACTTCAGTGCTTTAGCTAGATATTTATTCATGGTCACCATTACCTGGTTCAGATATTTCAAGTGTTTGCTTCACCCTGGGGTCTTATGATGAAATAATCAGTGGGATACTCTATGTTCTGTGTCTCATAGTGGGTTCTTGTATGCTTTGTAAAAGTGATGGTCGGGTAAATGCTGTAAATCTAGTCTTTTGAAAAAGGTGATCGTGGAACGTGTATATATATTTTTTTGCAATTGGTTTTGCACTGTTACATTGATATGCACTAACAGATAAAAAAGGAACATACCTCATTTTCTATTGAACATTAATTGTGCAGGAGTGCTTTTTTTTGTGGGGTACCTTAACGAAACAAAAAAAAATGATGAAAAAGATGGCCAAATTATTTCTAACGGTTGGAGTATCTCTTAAGCCTGCTAAATTATAGTTGTAAGGAATAATAGTAAGTTTGAAAAGGGCTGCTTTGGCTAAAGTGAAAAAATGTCGTCAATAAGGTAGCACCAGTTCAATTCAACTTGCTGCAATTTAATATACTACTCAGGTTAGTGGTACATCTGTCTTATGGCTACCAATATACATGATTATGAAACAATGCACAGCTTAAAGATGATTTTTTTTTTCCATCAGGAAGGTTTGGAGAGGAAGACAGATGTTGGTTGAGTACAGTAAAGGTTGATTTTGTTTGGAGAAATACAAACTAAAGGGCAGGTATCACCATTTTTGTGACGAAATAGGTCAGCACAAGGCAGCTAAAAGGTGAGTGGTGTTACGTTTAAGTTAAACTCTGGCATTAGGGCATAGAACTTACTAAAACAATGTCTGTAACTCAAAATGTAATTAATAAAGACGACTTTTATCCATTGAGTAACAAGAGTCACAAAAGACATCATCAACAAATGACCCAATGTGATAAAGCCTGTAATTGGTAAAGCTAAATATTCCTCCTGCATTCAGATGTCGTAATTTTTGCTCCAATTCTCAGTAGCATTGTTACTCTGATGGCATACATCAGCAGGTTATTACCAGCACTGCATCTCCAGAAAAGCCTTTTTCTCCACATACTGGTTCTGTTGTATTCATAAGGGGTTAGTTAGAATAATATAGCTGTCAAAATGTTACTCTGAGGACGCAGACTGTCTCAACTTTGTCTGCTTTAAGTCCTCTCATCACATGTTTGATCCCCAAAGTAAGTCACTTCAGGGTGGTGAACAAACGTGTCCAATGGGAAGAAATCGTATACGAATCTACGGACAGGCTGCAGCCACATTCAAACACTCTCCTTCATTTGGTGCAACTGAAGCTAATTATTGTGGCATCTGGAGCTGCTGGTCATTAACTGAAGTTTTTCTATTGGCAGAAGTCTCAAAATGTTGAACTGATCAACTTTAAGCTCACAAACCGCTATGGTCTCGTCAATGGCCTGGCTGTTCATTCCCTGCCCATGACATTCGTTATAGCCGTAGAAGCTTTTATGGCTCTATATTGTAATGGTGATACTTGCCCTTTAAAAAAATGTCGGTAGGTGTACTTCTAATTTAAGTAGTAATGTTTCAAGCCTGGTCCATAATTACACTACATCGCGTTCTCATAGATTTGCTTTATAACGAGTGAGTGTTACTGTAGCGGACGAAGCTGTTCATTTTGCATGAGACACATCCAGAGTGTTGCAACAATCTAATGGAGATTTCTACTTTGATGCAATACCAGACTCCCAGTTTTAAATTTGTGAAGCATGGGGTGAATTAAATGTTAGGCACAGGGACATTTTTATTATTTATCACCCTATCAGTATCAGTTCTGCTGCACGGTGTTTTATGTTTAAGCATCACATAAGCAAAAGGACTTTGTTTGAGAATATGAAAGGTTACTCATTAGTGTCAAATTCATTATCATTATTTACTTAAAATGACCAAATAATGTATGTAGCCTTTCACATAAGTCACATATTGTATATGGTGATGTATGTGTGTGTGTGTATATATATATATATATATATAAAATATGAATATATATATATAACAAAATGCCTTATAGACAAGGGAAATTCAACCTGATTAGAAGTTACCTGGATAATAAAAACTAAGATCAGTACTTGCTTGTTGTCATTGTTGTGCATTTCTTTCCTTTGAAAACACAGAGCATAATCTAGCATCCTGTTCCACTGGGTAAAAAAAAAAGTCTTTATACATAGATCATAATACTAGTTCTTAACATGACAATTATTTGAGCTGCTTACTGATCAAAATGTCCGTGACATGTTTCCATGAACAGACTTTTCATCAGGGGATGGTGTTAAGGTCAGACTTCAACAATGTCTGATATTGTCAGGAATGGGCTCCATCTGTTACATGTTTCTGAACCAGTGTAAATTTTACACTAAATCCACTGAAGAATTTAAGGTGCTTTTAGCAATTTCCTAAGAGCAGGAAACACTTTAATTGAATTAAATTTGTGTGTTTTTCAGCCTGTAACATAAAACAAGCAATTTAAATATAATTGCACACACAATGACATATTTTAAGCTTTTTTTAAATAAATCTTTTGATAAAATAACATTTACAAATAAAACTGGAATATTACTTTTTTGAAGTTCAATTTTATGCAAGGTTTTCTCTCCAAGTTTCATTTATTCATTTATTAGAAGGATAGCAAGAATAGGCCTTGGTCCATGCATTCAGAGCGAAGGTTACGGACTCAAAAGCATCCATGAAGAGGGTAAGCTGCATCAGCTGTCTGTTTACAGAACACCCGTTATACTGGAAAGTTGATTTAAAAGGAAAATGTAGAGATGACTGGGAAGTGAAACCCATTTAATGTTTTGTGGATGGTTTTGTTGCAACCCTACAAGTACCTTTCGAAGAAATGGACCAGAACTGTACCATTTATTGTATGGAACAACTCCTGCACCAGAGACATCAGAAGAAATTTACTGAGGCTAAGAAGTGGAACGGAATGTGCTTTGGTTTAAAGAATTTTCCTTAAAGGTATTGTGGAGGATTTTTGCAAATTTCTGAAAAGAAAAAATGCACATGCATGACCCTGTACCTGCTCCCAAGAGGGATCGACTATTAAACGTGTGCGTGCGCACGCACAAGCCCATTTCTCCTCGTGCACGCTCTGTTTAAAAGCTGCTGTTTTCATCACTCATGTTCGTTTTACTTTCCAAAAGAAGATTTGCAATTTTTCCACTATATCAGACTCACCACCAGTAAGTGAAAATGGGGATAAGCACTTAGGACGGCCTTACGTAAACATATCACCAGAATGATTGACAGTAAGGACCACTTATTTTGATGATCCACCCGGAAAAAGAACATCCTCCACTATACCTTTAACTGTTAACTATAATCACTGAAATCTAGTTTAAAATCTTTGAGTATATCACTGTGTTTGATAAATGTTACTTTTCAAACTGAATTATTGCAATGTATGGATATCTTCTACGGACATGCCCCAGCAGATTGAAGACATCGTATTACCTAACCTTATAAGGGTTTCTGACAGTTAATTGATTGAAAACCTTTTCTGGTTAATGTAGTAATGATCTTGAACCGTCTCTGGTGATGGGATTGAAGAAAACATGAGGTGAGTTTTACTTTTTTGCTCAAATATCATATAAAAATGGAATTTATAGAAAAAGTATTTTGTTTGTGAAGTCTCAACTTTATTTGTACAAAAACTCCACAGTGATATCATTAAAGTCAAGCCATGAAGCTACATGTGCAAAACCAAGGGGGAAATATGAGAAAGTAGCCATACTATGCTGCTAATCCAATGTATTTAAACCCCTTGGCACATTGAGGTTTGGAACTTTCTATTCAGAGCATTTTAACTACATTTTCTACAGAGACGTATGATGGTAGAAAACAAGAACAGACCCCAACAGTTTCAAACAAAGACAGAAAGCTCAGGGATAAAAACCTATAAAGGTAAAAGCCACATGACACTTATTCTAGTGGCTTAAAACAAAATAGGGAAAATAATGCATTGCTTGTTGGGTAGGCACGCCTTTAACAAAAAAAGTAGTTTGAGTCATGAAACCTGCATTAGAATTAACTGCTAGGCTTCTGAAATGATGTGCACTGTACTGATGAGACCAAAGTAGAAATTCATAGCCAATTAAAGTGTCATGTTTTGAAAACCAAACAGCATAAGGTTTTTTCTAGGCAGATTTACTTTTATGCTTTAAAGCGCAGGGGTCAAACCCAAGAGCTGTTGGTCGTATCCCGCCCTTAATGACAAAAAAAAGGCTCATCTTTAAGTAGAGGCATGTTCTTTTAAAGAGGCCAAATCTGCTACATAAATGGGAGCAGTTATAATACCAGAGCACTGTGCTTTTTTGTTAGTACTATAACAAAATTAAGTTATATGTTCTCAGCTGGAATAAATTAACTTTTTTTTTTATCCACAGTCTATAATATCCTTGCAAGGATTTGAAGGAGCTGGTGCATATATCCAGTGGTTATTTGGTGACACACGTTACCAGTTCATCACAGGGTAACAGCACAGCCAAACATAAATGGACTCTCGCTCTATGGGACAATTTAGAAAGACTAGTTAACCCTAACAGTAATGTTTGTGGAGTGTGGAAGAAGGTCACGGTACCTGCAAATTCTATGGAGATAACATGCAACTCCATACAGATTAGACCTCTACAGTCATTCAGAGAAATGTTAACCGTACTGAAGAAGTCACCTATAGACAACTGAATCATCAGTTTAAGTATTAAATGAGATATACATTTTAGAACTTGGGAGACTAGTTTATTTTCAGATCGTCATGTAAAACACAAACTGAAATGTGCATTTACTGTCTTTTTATCAAATGTATATATTGATTATATGAGTTTCTTTAAAAAAAAAAAAAAAAAGTCACTTTTCTTATTGAATTTGTATTTCAATAACATCAGGTGTGTAGTCAAGGATACAATGAACTGAGTGAAAAACATCAGATGCCAGATCTCTACCGGTACAACCAAAATTATTAAAATTAAAGTTCAGAGATTACATAGAAGCACTAAAATGACAACAGAAATACATGAAATACAAGCTTCAGGTAGTTTTAATATTGTACCAAACTTTTCAGATTCTACCTTCAGCAGAGGAATGTGGCTGTTTACAGAGTTCAGTGACCAGAGAGGAGTGGCTTCAACGGGGAAAGGTAAAAACAGCCCAGCTGAAAACTGATTACAATTATATTTGAAAATGTCCAGAGTTGAATTACAAACAAAACAAATGTTCTCTTCTCATTTTTTTTCTTAGCAAGACCTGTACACAGTTAAGTTTGTCCTCTGGTATCCGCTACCTAATCTGTAGCCATCAAAGAGAGCATTTAAACAGCTCAACTCTCCTGTTTAAACATAGTTTGGCTTTACAAAATATCCCCTTCATTAAATAAGACTTCTCAAAAAAAAAAAAAAAAAAAACTGTCATCCATCTCAGAGAAACATCCACATCTGTCAGAAATCCTTAGTATTTTGGATTATATAATACACTGAAACAAAAAGATTACACGGGAAAACTACTAAAAATACAACCACTAACGATAGGAGGAATCCTACATCATCACTGGAAAGCTTGATACTAGGAGACAGGGATGTGCAGCAACCTCAGAAATGTTAAAACGTTTTGGTGGTAACAACAAAACTATCAGGATCCACACTGACGTAAAGACTGTATAGACTAAAACAGGGCTGCTGATGCGCTGCCCAAAACAGTCATTTTAAAAATCAGAGTGTTCGGGAGAACAAAAAGTCTTCCAATATTAAATCCTTTAAATAGCTGAACTCAGAAGGGCCGCGACGCTCCTTTAAAAGCCTTGAATCCTCCCACGGTGCCGCTGCTGGAAATAGGGTTGCTGGTGATCTGTACAATCCGGCTCAATCCCGAAGAATGGCTGCAAGGAGACAACGGTTACAATCGTCAGAGCTGTGTCAAAAACGCGTGATGAGGCTTTTGTCATCTGGTCTAACTGGTGTACCTGGAGGTAGGCATCATCCCACGACTGTTTTCCATCCTGCGATTATCAGGAAAGACTCCTTGAGAGCTTGATCCACCATGCCACTCCTTCCTCGGTACTTGCTCCCTGCTGTGACGCTCCACCACTACCTGCCGGCCAGAGCTGAACGGCTGCAGAAACAGAGGTGTTGGGAGTCAGTCAACCAGTCAAACCGTGTGGAAATTTAACTATTGAAATGTTCATCATGATACAGTGAATTTAGATAAGGGGGGAAAAAAAGAGACCAAAGGAATAAAAATGTGATATTTCAACACCCTTAACACATCCTAAAGCAGGGGTCTGCAACCTGCTGCTCCAGACCCACATGTGGGTCTTTGGACCCGGTACAGCACCTATTAATAGTGGTTAAATATATGTAAAGAGCAAAGGAATGTACTATAATAAATACTAGTCTTAAAAGTTTTTGTGTTTTTCATAGGACAGAAAAGAATGACATTTAAAAAAGAAACAAATATGTTTTATGAGTCGTTTCTCTTTTAATTAGCTTAGAAATTATGCTTTTATTATTTTAAAAGCTAAAAATACATTAATAGTAGGTTGTTTAATGTGGCACTTGGTTGAACTCTGGGTAAAATGGCTCTTTGGATATAAAAAGTTGCAGACCCCTATCCTAAAGTCATCTTTTTAGAAGCAGAAAGACATTTCAACTCTGCTCTCAAGGACATTTATGTCATTAAAGCATTAAATCAAATATATGTAGCCATTTTTATTTACTTCTTTAGCTTTTTTTTGTAGAGATACAGGCTTATCTCATTCATCAAACCACCCTGTAGTTGTTTCAGTTTAAAGTATTCAGAGTTTAGTCTAACAAAAAACAGTTTTTAAAACCAGACCTGATCATTGATGCCGATGGGTTGACCTCTGTTATTAAAGCCACTCCTTCCGCTGTCCCTGCCTGGACGATCTTCCCGCATGCGCATCGGCCCTCTGCAGGAAGCACAGACAGTTAATGTAGCACAGCTTCTGATGAATGTTCAAGAAGAGTAAACTGTTCAATACCTCATATCTCCCTTGTTGGAATTAATCCCTCCATCATTCTTCCACCCTGGTCCATCCCTCAGTGGGCGGTTGTGTGACGCAGCAGTGATTGGAGCTCTTGCTCCCACAGGGCGATCATGTATAGGCGGAGGGCGCCTCTCGTCTCTTTCTCTGCGGTCAGTGTCACCACGGGGAGGTGGCTCGGGTCTGCGGACGGTATCAAAGTTCTTGGGGTATCTCTCGAAGCCAGAGCCCTCTCTGTGAGGAGCTGGACGACTCTTCTTTGCCTCTGGTTCGCCCTCATATTTATTGCGCCTTGGAAGTAAAAAAGAAAGGCGGTGATCAGAACCAAAACAGGTTACAGTACTGCCATTACACTAAACAATACGGTTATTAAGCTGAAACCTAAACTGATATCTACCAACAGCCTTGATGATTAAACCTAAAAAGTCAAGTAATTGATGACTTTTGATCATGTTTAAAACACATTCAAATGACATTTTCTATTTGCACCATTTATGATAAAGTTACAAACTTCACAAGATTTGTCAACGAGATGTTTCTGCAGGTTTCTGCTCGAGTGTAAGTAAAGAGGATTTATGGTAGACATTCTGGTGACACAAATCAAAAAAATATATTTTAAAAAGATGCTGCAACATGGGTGATGTTTTAAACTTCTAAATGAATCTTACTTAACCAAGTCCAGCTTTGTGGCCCAGAAATGTAACCATATGCTACACTAAAAAAAGTTTTACTCCTGGAATCTTCCCATACCTGTCAAACGTGTTAGGCTGATGGCCAGCGTCTGAGAAACGGCCCCTCTCCCGAGGATTTACGCTGGGGAAGCGATTCTGCGGTCGGTTGTAGTTGGAGCCTTGGTTCAGGTGGACCTCTGGCTCAGAATGCATCTTTTTATTGCCGTTCCAGTAGGGATCATCACGCCGGCTAAACATGAAGCAGACTAATGAAGCTTTCAAGTCAAAATTGTTCTACAGAAAAAGTTGCTTCAGGCTAAAATCTGTTCAACTCCGTTGTTAATGATTTTTGCCACCTGTTTACCGCAAAACATTTAATGCTTCACTTAGATGTCAAAAACACAGGCATATAGTCAGAATGCAAAGTAAATGAATTGGTAATCAATTGTTCACAAAATAAAAACTATACATGATATAAAATATTTAAAAAAATAAAATAAAAATAAAAATAGAAAGTGCAAAATGATTCAGCCCCTTTTCTCCTAGTGCAATCAATCCCTGTCAGAAGTTGCCTGATTGTTGACTGAATAGTCTACCTGTTCATAATCTAATATCAGTACAAAATCAGCTGCTGTGTGATGGAATCAGGGTGGTTCAGAGACTATAGGGGAGTAAATGGCATCGTAAGGTCAAAGGTACACTGCAGACAGATCAGGGATAAAGGAGTTGTTCAATCCATCATCCAGAAATGGGAAAAGTATGGTACAATTCTACCAAGACTAGGCCTTCCTGATAAACTTACAGTAAGAACAACAGCACTGATCAGAGATGTAGCAAAAAGGGCCAGAGAGAGCAAAGAGTGGAAAAAGATGATTTGGACCTGTCTGCCAAATTATCAGTGGCAGAAATCTAACATTGCACATCACTCTCAACCGACCACAACTACTGTTAAATATGGTGGTAGTGGCATCATGCTATGGAGTGGTCTGCTTCAGGAGAAACAATCAAGATGATCAGAGTTGATGGATGAACCCAAATACAGGGCAATCTTAGGTCGAGGTTTGCCTTCCAGCAGGATGACAACCTTAAACATAATGCTAAGGCCACAATGAAATGGTTGAAAACAAAACATATTCATGTCCTAGAATGCCCTCGTCAAAGTCCAGACCTATACCAAATCAAGAATAAGTGGCAACAGATGAAAACTAAAAAAAACTGAAGGACAAAACAACATCTACACAAACACATGGAGTAGTACAGGAGAGCCAGTGGCTAAGGGTGGGATTCTGCTGTATACTTGGACCTCGGAGAGGATGTTAGAGGGAAAAAACAATCACTGAACAGGGGGCGACGGGGTTCAGATTTCAAACATTTACAATTAAGTACTGCAATCTTACAGAACTGATAGAAACGTCGAACATATTGCAGAAAAAAAGCCTCAAATTTAAGCCGGTTTTGTGGCATGTGTAATTTTCCTTTCACAACTTTACATCACTTTGTGTACTTTTGCAAACCCCTGTATTCTCTATGGGTAGCTCTCTGCTCGCTAAAGGCTTTTCAATGGGACAGAAATGAGTGTTAATCTTTTGTCGAAAGTTTCTCACTGTGCTCGAAAAAAATATCCATATGAAAGGCAATTCTGCTCAGAGGTAAATTAATTTATCTGTTAACTATCACACCTAGCTGCTAATAAAACAAAGTTTCTATGTAAGCATTAAAGCCTTTGTTTTTATTTTTACTAAAAGCTTTCTCCTACCTCATGCATAAAACTGAGTTAAAGCTGACAAGAGAGCAACAAATGCTCCAAAAAATTAAAATAAATACCCGTGTTCCACCTCACGACCCCTTTTCAGGTTATTTCTCTTCTCTTGTTCAAAACGCAGCTGCTCCTGCTGCCGCCGAAGCTCCTCTCGTTCACGTGCCATGCGCTCAGCCTCCTTACGACGTTCCTTTAAAACAGAAAATGGTTCACTGGGATGTTTCTCTTGTAACAGAAACCATAGTTAACTGGCAATAAATTTGATGCATGTTTGGAAAAAAAAATAACATATATATCCCCGCAAGTTGTATTAACCCATTGAGTGAGTCTGTTCATGTTTACTTTACCTGCTCTATGCGAATCCTCTCCCTCTCGAGCCTCTCTCTCTCCAGGCGCTCTCTTTCCAGTTTTTGTCTCTCCATCTCCAGCCTTTGGCGCTCCCGGAGCAGGATCTCCCGTTCTTCCCGTTCACGCATCAGACGGACTCTCTCGCGCTCCCTCCGCTCTTGTTCTGCTATTTCACGGCGCCTTCAGACAAATGTTTTTTGTTTCTCTCAGGATTAAATAATATTTTCTTCATTTCAAAGTGTTTTGAGGTTAATGTAAGAGAGCTACCTGCGCAGCTCAGCCGCTCTCTGGAAGCGCTCGATTTGTTCACGCGTCCTCTGGTCCTTCTGCTCCTTAAACTTGTCAAAGGGCAGAATATCACTATCTACCCCTTTGTTGAAAAAGGCTTGCCGCTTCTCTCTCAGCATTTGTACCTAAGGGAACAATAAAATCATTAAGACCCAATTTAACTAAATAAACAGATTAAAGCAATTTGTAATAGGCTATAAAGAGAAAAGTTTAACCTCTTCAGGAGGGATCAACCACCTTGGACGCTTATCCAAGTAAGTGTTCCCATAGGGCTGGGAAAAAAAAAACAAACACAAAAACTTTTTTACTTAACATCCATTTTTGACAATTTAATAAGATTACTTAAAAACAACCTATTAAAAACATAAATAAAAGCTTACTTTATTGAAATATCTTCCTGTTCTATTATTAAAATATCTTCCGGTTCTAAAAGGCCTTCTGCCAAAGCTCTCCTCTCCAGTAGGAGGATCTTCTGCTGCCGTCTTTCCTGGACTCTTTGTTTCTATAAACAATTATTAACAAGAAACATTTATATGAGAGACACTTAATGAAAAAGCTAAGATCATTCCAGCTCTGAAAACTGGAGGAGAGACTTACGTCCACGCTTTCTGTCGTCTTTCTTTGAATCATCGTCAGAGCNAAAAAAAAAAAAAAGTCACTTTTCTTATTGAATTTGTATTTCAATAACATCAGGTGTGTAGTCAAGGATACAATGAACTGAGTGAAAAACATCAGATGCCAGATCTCTACCGGTACAACCAAAATTATTAAAATTAAAGTTCAGAGATTACATAGAAGCACTAAAATGACAACAGAAATACATGAAATACAAGCTTCAGGTAGTTTTAATATTGTACCAAACTTTTCAGATTCTACCTTCAGCAGAGGAATGTGGCTGTTTACAGAGTTCAGTGACCAGAGAGGAGTGGCTTCAACGGGGAAAGGTAAAAACAGCCCAGCTGAAAACTGATTACAATTATATTTGAAAATGTCCAGAGTTGAATTACAAACAAAACAAATGTTCTCTTCTCATTTTTTTTCTTAGCAAGACCTGTACACAGTTAAGTTTGTCCTCTGGTATCCGCTACCTAATCTGTAGCCATCAAAGAGAGCATTTAAACAGCTCAACTCTCCTGTTTAAACATAGTTTGGCTTTACAAAATATCCCCTTCATTAAATAAGACTTCTCAAAAAAAAAAAAAAAAAAAAAAAACATAAAATAAAGATGCAATTTTGAATAAAGCTTTCATATTAGGGACATTAGGACATAAACCCTGAAGTTGTTACTCACTTGTTTGTCTGTTTAGTCCCAGTCAAACTGTGCTTAATATTCGACTTGCCAGACACTGCTTTGTCCTCCGCTTCTTTCTTTGAGGGCTCTTTTTTCAGTGGATCATTTTTGACCTTTGAAGAAAAAAAAAAAAGTCAAATTAAGACAATACAATCCATTAACCATTACCATAGCAGCATTTGAGGTAGCCGTTTACCCGTTCAACATATATCTGTTGTCCATGGAGCTCAGTACAGTCAAGGTGGGAGATGCAGCGCGCCACTTCAGCGCTGGAGGACATCGTCACTAAGCCGTAACATTTTGAACCAGGACTGCGAGCGTTTGTTACCACTTTAGCACTGAGCACCTGTAGAAAACATATTTGCGCCTTAGGAGTTCTAGTTTTTGAAGTAAAGGATCATTTTCAGATTTAATGCTTATCAGACAGGAGACAAAAGTGACTTAAATTGTATCCTGTGAAGATGTATAAGCATCACATTTAAACAATATAAAACTAACTTTTAATTTAGTCCCTGAAAATCAGAAAAGAAAATGTGAGCTGAAAAAAAGCTCGAGAGAATTCATAAATCAAGATGATTTAAAGCAGTTTCTACTGAGAGGATATATATATATAAAAAAAAAATCACTTCCTCTGAATCATCCAACCTTGTGAAGTGTTTGAATAGTGCTATCCACATTTTCAGTCCAGTTAGAAGTAATCATTTGAGATTTTTCACTTTTTATATTATTATTAATATTTATATTGCTGTATTCCATTTTAAGTGAGAAAAGATTACACAGCTAGGTTGAGCTTGTTTTAATGTAATGCATCACAGGAGGAGGAACATAGTACAAGTTTCTATTTTCAAAGATGCAAGCTTTCTTAAAAAATGTTAACCAGTGGGGTGCTCTAAAATCTTCTCTAGAGTAAAAAAATAAAATAAAAAAATCAAAGGATGTTTATAAACTATGTTTACCATCCAGTTAATTTCTGGGGTTGTCCAGCCGGAAGAAACAGTTTTTTTCCAGAAGAAACTTGGAAGGACAGGTTTACTGGAAAGTTCTCTCTTGGTGAATATCCAGTAGTAACCTTGAGGTGGGGTTCAATATCTACAAACCAGGGTGGTTTGGGGGGAATGGATAGCAAAAAAAATAAAGAAAAATAGTGCCAGCTAGTGTAATCCGAGTATACAAGACAGCGTTTTCCTACCATTTAAAGGCTATTAGAAAATGATCACTTCTGTTTTAAATATGCAATTCTTCCCTGATGGGTTTTCTCTGGTGGGCAGGGTTTGCAAGTTTTGTGACCAATAATTATTGGTCCCATAATGCTTTACGAGGAGAGCTCTCCGTGCATGGCATTCTGGGAAATATAACTGCCTTGGACATCCCCGTTATGGGGGTTGAGGATTTTTTGATTCCCTCAGTTAAATAACGTACCTAAATCAACAGTTCGGTTTTGTTCTTCATTCACTTTTTATACATCTTGATCAGTGGTCCAAACAATCATAGCTGGCACCAAATTTAACCAAACGTTTCCAGGATTTCTTACCTTCCCATATTTGCCAAACAGGTTCTTCAGATCAGCTGCCTTGGTGTTCGAGGACAGACCGCTCACCCATAGGTTACGAAAAGAGCTGCTGACAGCTGTTCAAGTTAAGGAGATTTTAAGCATTAGTTGGAAGTTTAACAGAGCGATGTCTTTTTTAAACCTCAAGCCATCTTACCTTTTTCATCCTTTGCAGATTTTCCATCTTTGTCTCTTGAAGAGCTAGAACATGAATGTTACAAAACCAAAACTAAAATAAGTGAGGGTAGATAAAATCATGAACAAAAAGAAAAACATCCATCATATAGATCAAAAACATATTTTCCAACTCCTGAAGGAAGGAAAAAAAAAAAAAAAAGAGCAACAAAAATAAAAAACATCCTTAAGGCAGGGTGTGGATCTGTGCCGGAGTCTCAAAAGCTTCTTTTTTTTCCCGGTTGCATGGTGGATCGGGTGGTCAGCCAATTGATTATTTTTTTTTAATCCCTGGGTCAGTGAAATCTTCAGTGGTCTGCTCAACGTCATTGCATCACCGTTTGAAAAAATATTTAGAGAAAAAAAAAAAATCATCATCATGGAGGCTAATGCTTTTTTTACACTGCCATGTGTAGAAACCGCAAAAGGATCAAAGTAACAAAATAAAGACTTGTTTTCTTGTCTCCTGGTTAATCACATTTAACCAACTTCAGAGAAATAAACCAAAGCAGCAAAGTGCACGATAAGGTACATCTGTGAACAATTTCCTTATGGCCAAAAAAAAAAACAAAAATCATCTTGAGGCTACCCACAATGCTGCTCTCTTAGTGAGGTGGACTTGGAAGTAGAATCAAAGAACTGACATAGAAAGACAAACCTCTTATCTTGACCCAAGGCCCCTGTAGTAGATTGGCCTTTCTTCCCAGAATCCATTTCTTTATCTTCGGTTTCAGCATCCGTCATGGCGTCTCTGGCGTCTTTCTTCATGGCTCCTTCGTCGTCCTTACCATCTTTGTGGTCCTCCATGTCTTCTTCCTTCATGTCATCATCTGGACCCATCTCAGCACAGGTCTCAGTGCTCTTCTCTGCCTCTGGATCTGGAAGTCTCACATGTTTACCTGTTTCCAGGAGGTCATCACCTTCAACATCCAGGGTGAGGGTGTCTTCGTTTTGGATTGAGACAGACAGGTGATCATCCTCTGCTTCTCTAGAGGAGCTCATTGTTTCAGGATCCCTCTCGGCTTCTTCGGTCTCAGCCTCTCGGTCTACGTCCTCGTCAGCCTCTGCGTTCTCCTCTGGTTCAGGCTCTGAGTCGGCCTCAGCCGCCACGGTTTCAGACTCTGCTTCAGCCTCAGAATGAGCGAGGCTGTCCTCACAGGGTGGAGGCTTAGAATTTTCGCGACTAGCGTCATCTGTATCAGTTACATCTGAGGGATTTAATAAGGATAAACATGGCAAACAGACATCTTAACATTGACATGTCGCATGTTACTCGACCAACAGAAGTAGAATAGAAAGCACATTCACTGTTAAAGGTCATCGAGGGCGCAGGTACCAAAAGAAGACAACATAATCTTCAAAAAAAAAAACAAAAAAAAAAAAACACACAGAGTCAGGGCTTTCTTCTTGGCTCATCTTGGGCTGGAGTCATCTTTTCAAGTGGATGTGTTGATTTATAAAAGGTGAAGCTGTTCTCAAAGAGGAAGCAGCTATACCACGTCCATATAAGTCAATTCTTCACTTATCTATTTTTTCCTTTCCATTATGCGTCAGAGTTCAGTCCACAAAACAAGTAGGGTCCAGGAAACCTTCCAGTAGCTCTTCAATTCTGAGTGCGAGCCCCTTTAGCGTGCCATCAACAAAATTGATGATTAATCGTGAAGTGAAGCTTGCTGCAAGGTGTCCCGACAACAGTACACATTCAAAACCTGCAGGTCCTTTGAGCGTAGCGATGCAGGTTCTTTACGTGCTTCAAAGTCTCCATGTATGCCTCAAAGATAGAAGAACTGTCCTCCATAAAGTACGTCCTATATTTAAAAGGAACCGGCATCGATGAACGTAGCAGTCCTTGACTTTAGAGGATTCCAGATGCTTGATATAACCTCTAATAAGGTGCCTTATTCCAGTAGAAAAAGTGGAGGTGTATTCAGATGTTTGCCAGTACATTTATCACAGGTCTTTCCAGTCATGTCAGTCACTGCTTAGACTGCCATGATCTTGAAGTGACTTTTTTCCTCTGATGGGACATAAATTATGTCCTTGGTAAACTTCATTCTTCACGAGAACTTGGAAAGCAGAATCCTTAAAAGCAGCAAAAACTCAAAGGCAATGGATGTGGAAAAATTGAGACCTAGAGCCAGAAATGTAAGGGACCCATGCGACTCGTTCTTCGAAAAACATCCAAATTGTCTCAACACTTCTTCTCCATAGTTTCCCTAGATAGTGCAACCGCATTTAAATACCATTGAATACAGGAAACGATATTCACCAGGGCTCAGAAGCATAAGACTTTAAGAGAAAAGCAACGAACATGAAACATGTGTGGTGGCATACATACCCTTTTCAGATTCAGACTCCTCAACTTCCTAGAAAAAGAGGAGAGGAGATGAGACTCTTTCCCCACAAATATAAACACCAGTTTGTCAAATGTATTACTTTTATTTGAGCATAACCAAAAAAAATCTTTATGTAAAGAGTACTCTTAAAAACTGTAATTTAAAAAGAAAAAAAGCACAAAAGGGCTACAGTTTCAGCTAAAGTCAAGTTTATAGTTCATTATCCAGCATCTGGATACTAAACTATGACAATAGTGGACAATAGCGCTAATCAAGCTGTGTGTAGAGTTAGCACAGCATTCTTTCATGGCACACACCAAACCACGCCAACTAAATAGTTTTTCATATGTGCGCCTCATTCTGACCCTTTTCAATGTTGTGGTTTTTGTACCACTGGTGCATCAATTTAAACCAACTTTTAAAGCAGTTGATTTCAATTAACCGTCTCTAATTTATTCGTCTTTCCCAACTGGTGGGTCCTGACCGAATTGAAGGCCTTCAGGATTTGTCTGTGCAAAATTTTTTAACAAAATACACAAATAAAAAAGTAATAAATAAATAAAAGAGCCAAAATTACTAAGGAAACAAATTTAAAGACTAAAAACTATTGCGTGCTCTTGTGTCAAACCAAGAAGCGTATCGAATTGTTGAATGCTGAATATTTATTTTTTAGCCTGGTTTTATTAAGTTTTTGCATGCCAGTGGAAAAACTGATTTGAATCACAGATTAATCTTCACCTCCACGTGGTTCTGCATGTTTACCATTCTGTTTCTAACAACTTGTATAACAACAGGGAATGTTGCTTGCTGAGCTAGAGGAAGCTCCATCAGTCCTGCACAGGGCCAGCTTCACAAACGCACCCGAACCCATTAGGATGACTAGAGAACCTGACCTGTCTAGCAGATATCTTCCATTCAAATACAAACCTGACCCATTAACACTTCATATCAGGCTGAACCCTGATCTTTCCTCTTTTGGTCTTTTTTCCCCCTTTATATTACATTTTTGGTTGTGTAATATGACAGAGAAATGAATAACGTCCACCCAAATCAGTTACTTTTCAACCGTGCTATTTTCTCTCACAAAGGAGCATTTTTTAAGGTTACCTGGTGGGTTATCTGTTTATGCATTTGTAATTAAGGAAATCTGATCATAAGAGTGAACTGCTGTGATGTTTAGTTCTTGTGATTGAAGTGAAATGAACGCAGTGGTTAGTGAGCGTGACCCATGTACGGAGGACTTAGTCCTCGACGCGGCCGACCCGGGTTTGAATCGGACCTGTGGTCCATTGCTGCATCTCTCTCTCCCTCTTCCTGTCAACCTACTGTCAGAAAAACGAGCCACTAGTGTCGTAAAAACTCAAAAAATAAAAAAAACTGATGGTATCACTTTAGATTACGATTCTGAAATTTGTAGTGTTAAAAAAATTCAGTAAAAAAAATTAGTAAACATCCTCGCACATTCTAGTTTCACCTGTATTCCATCCCTTCAAATGCATATGCAAAATAAGATTTCTTAACATCTAAAGAAATCTCAGATTTCCTCCTGTCCCTTCCTGATCCGGCAAACCTTACAGTAACAAAAGATTAATCATCACACCCAACTTGACTGGAATAATGCTGGTAAATCGCCACAGAGTTGAACGTTTGTTACAGGTAGATACAAAACTGATGTGCATTTTCAGATCAAAACAAAAACATTTACAGCTTACACCTGAATTAACTTTATGATTTCTCGAGATGTTTTGTGTTATTGTCCAAGGCTAAAAGTGATGTAGTATAGTCATTTTGATTTAACTCATAAAACCTTAAACTTGCGAACCAAACATAAAGCTTAACGCATCTTCTAATCTTAAATATGACTGAATGGAGTCATAATTCAGGGCAGTTGGGTGAGTTTTGGTGCTTTATAGCTCGTCATTTCTAGTTTGAAAAGTCTGACAAAGTGCTATGTGGATTATAACACAGATTCACACAATGTCAATTTTTGTACATGAATTAGACAGCTTTTATCGTCATCTTATATACACATAGTGTATATGCAATAAAAAAAAACGCATTTATAAGGTCAGTTTGATGCAGAGTCTGTGACGTGATTGAGAGTACATGAAAAGCTATGCTAAAATTTTAGCTTAAACTTTATGTGCATTTGCAAATTGTGTAAAAGACCAGGTAACTCTACTCAGTGTATAAAAACCAGGAAAGTCAGTTGCTCAACATCTTTGAGGATCAAAAGCTGACTTCAGTTTTTTAAACTTTTCTTTAAGTTATTCTTCTTGCAAGGTAACTATAACTTGTAACAAACATCACTCTTGCGAGTGTTGAAGAGGGATAAAATGAGGAAATAAGGGAAAACTATAATAGAAGTCCTTTGTGCAGTATCCCTTTTTTTGCATATTCTTCTGTAATTAGCCTACAGATAATAATCATGATGTCAAGAGCAGCAAATTTAAGATTTCACAATGTTTCTGAAATGCCACCAGGCAAAATGAAGGGGTCCCAGAGCCATCTGGCATGGATAAAACACTGAAGATGGATCACATATGATTTGTAGCAGTGCTTTCTTCACTGCTACGGTGGCTTGTTAAGCCCAAAGGGGACACATGTTCTCTATGGTTGGGTTAGCCAAGGGCTGTTCAGTATTTCTCAAGTTTTTCTCTGATTTCTCAGTAATTCTCAATGATTGTGCTGAACCTCTAAAAGGAAGCAAAGTATATTACAAAGTATGGCTACATATGTGAATGTAAACGTTTTTGATCACAGCGTAAACATTACCAAAGCCGGTCCTAGGAAACCACAGCCCCTGACCCATTGGCAAATTATAGGGCATGCCACACTCACCTTGGAAAATGTGTCTTCATCCGCTGTGTTTTCCAAATCTGAATCGGATTTCTTTTCTGAAAGATTAAGCGTGGAGGTACCTTATGGATTCAGTATATGGTACTGGATAAGCAACCTTTACACTCTGGGAGAATTGTGAAGTCAAGCGTTAACCAGAATTACCTTGGACTTTCTCATTTATTGTTGTCGATGCATCAGTTGATGGCGGAGTCTGATTGTACTCTAGCTCACCACCTTCATCTTCATTAGCCTTAAAAACATTATTGAAAAAGAAAAAAAAATATTTAGCATCTACTCACCATTGTAAGACAAACTTCATGAAAAATTGGTCAGTTACAAATTCATTCATGTGCAGGTTGTGATTACCAGGGGGTTTATCAAATGATTTTTTTTTTTCAAAATTATGTGTATGATGGTGTTGAACTCTTATATCAAAACATGTTTCACAATACCATTTTAAATGTTTTCAATCCATATAATAATATTACATTATATGGATAATGATAACCATTTACATTACACATACATATATAGGAGAAAAACAGCAAAATCCTTCATCTTTACTGTCGACAGGCTGCAGCCATGTCCTGAATTCCTCGTTTTTTCCATTCTCTAGCTTTTTCACCACATCAAGCTTCCTTTTCTAAACATACGGCTTTATGATCACCCGAAAGCAGTTCCACGCAAATATATCGCAATATAATTTATCTGATGAAGTAGTTTTTCTAAATTCATTTTTAAAAAATAAAGCATTTTAAATGCCACAATTATCATATTTAAATAATTTTAATGCCAATTAAAGGAGAAGTTCGGTTTTTTACACTTTAAGCCCATTTTCTGTAGTGTCCAGGATGAAATCGAATGATCGACACCAAAAGTTTGACAATTGGTCCTGTCTCTGCTTTTTGGCTCATTTAGAATCACCCCCTGGCTGCTTTAGAATGGCTAGCATAGAGCATGTCCGATAATGTCCTTAAAACAACCTTAAACGTTCTTTTTTTAAAATATGCTACTCACCGTGTCGTCAGCGCTGTTCAATGACGTTCCAAAAAAAGTTTCGTAAAGAAAAAACGTTCCTGTAGTGTTTTATTTAGCATTTTGTAAATCCCATTGAGTTCTGTAGGAATAGTCAATTGTCCGCTGCCACCGGAAACGGAAATGGGGCCTGTTTACACAGTTGTAGTCTTTTCGCTTCACTCTGTGTACTCCGACGTCGAGGTGCTAACGTCTCTGTTAAACACTTTAAAAAACTCTGAAAATGGAATACGAAAGGTGGATTCTTGATTCTCGACGTCTGAGTACACAGAGTGAAGCGAAAAGACTACAACTGTGTAAACAGGCCCCATTTCCGTTTCCGGTGGCAGCGGAATATTGACTATTCCTACAGAACTCAATGGGATTTACAAAATGCAAAATAAAACACTACAGGAACGTTTTTTCCTCACGAAACTTTTTTTGGAACGTCACTGAACAGCACTGACGACACGGTGAGTAGCATATTTAAAAAAAAGAACGTTTAAGGTTGTTTTAAGGACATTATCGGACATGCTCTATGCTAGCCATTCTAAAGCAGCCAGGGGTTGATTCTAAATGAGCCAAAAAGCAGAGACAGGAGCAATTGTCAAACTTTTGGTGTCAATCATTCGATTTCATCCTGGACACTACAGAAAATGGGCTTAAAGTGTAAAAAACCGAACTTCTCCTTTAAGGCCTTAATTTAACAAATAATGATTTAATGACACTTACTGACCCGTGGAAACCCTGTAATAGCTTAAAACAGAATGTCAGAAATCTGCTGCATTGAAAAGCACTAGAGTCGATTGTTTGGCTGCATTTCAACAGCAGATGTTTTTCATGTGAAATTCATGTGTAACATGAAGGCAGGCAGGGGAAAGCACAGTGTCCAGGCTACCGTCACCAGGTCGGGTTTCGGTCGTCCCGTCCCCTGCTTGCTCCTTGCCCCCGTCCGCTGGGGTTCCCAGACCAGCCCTGGAGCTCACGGCTCAGTTCTGCTGCACTATAGTAGACCAAAATCCCCAGTTTGAAATTTTTTAATTAAGCCTTGCATTTTTTTTTTTTAGATATGAAAAGTAGGACATGACAGAGAAAAAGAGGGCGCCCGGTCACCCTACCATATCAACAATTTGATGTTTCAGTGAGTGAGTGCTTGTTGCTATGATGCGTCTTTGCTCAGCAGCTTAGCTCGTTGTAAACCAAGCAATCAGCGAACAGCTCATTTAATTATACATGAGCATACAGTAAAAGGAAGAAAACCTGTCGTTTCATTCTGGGGCTTTTAACCGGGCTAACATTAGGGTGCAACAGAACAGAATAGAACAGCAAAGATGCCATTTTCTGCCCAACCAATGTTACCCACCCTATTCAGAGACCTTAAGGACCAGCACCAAATACCTTATATAGAATCATTCTATGACCCCCCTTTAAAGGAGTCTGATTAAAAAAGAATTTTCAGACAAGGATTCAGTTTGGGACTGGCATTTCCATTTGTAAATTCCCACATCAGTTCAATGCAGTGTTTGTCAAAAATGTAACTGTACTTAAAAAAACCTAAAAATCAAATAGTAGAGGAGCATGTTTAAAGTAAAAAAAATAAATAAATAAAAAGTTCTAGCCCAGCATAAAAGTATCG